AAGCATTGCTTGCGAGAGGTCCCGGGTTCAATCCCCGGATGGCGCCCAAACTTTTGCCGGATTGGCCTTGAATCCATTTCATTTTGGCATCGAAATCTTGGAAGTTGTAAAATGTTTCGTTTGGCAACATGAAGAACCCGTTCGGACGCAGACAAATGGCTGGGGCTGTGCTCGGAGAGCTATGGCTGGAGGGGCACCACAGGCGCGTCAATCAATGCACGATGAGACGCGTCCCGACGCGCGACAGCGCCACACTTGCAATTCCACTTTACCGCGATGATGGCTTGACGTCAATCTTTTGCACAGCAACGCTGCACGTCCGCTCGTCGCCCTACTCTTTCGACGTGGTATCAATACTCGGCTTTACATCACGACCTCGCAAATGACCTGTAATCCATGGATTGGGCCCCCACCCAGCCATGTCCTCCTCTCGACCTGTTGCACCACCTACAGACGCGTCCCGTCCAGGCTCAGGTATCCTCACGCCCAGCTCTGACAGTCTACTGAACCACGATGCGGCGTTCGGCGAGGTCTCCAAGACGGCGGGACGGCGGGGCTCCAGCGCACTGGAGCACCTCCTCAAGTCTTATATCGTCGTCAAGGTCGGTAGCCCCCTAAACAACCGCACTTACGAGACACAATCTGATACCCCCCGAGCCGTTTCGTCTCAATGCTGTGGCCAGACCTTCCACTCTGCAGCCGTTGATGCTCATTCCCCGCGAGGAGCTGTCCCTTTCCCTCCTCGACCTCTTTTCGCCCAATGGGGATCTTCCCTCAAGCCGACTCTACGAATCCCACATCAAGATCCTCGATCTCGAAGACCGCATGGCTGACAGGCCGAGCCTTCTCATCGCCCGAAATGAGTCTTCGAAAACGCTGTACGCCGTCGAACGAGCCGATAAGAACCTCTTCACCGTGTGCAAGTTGGGATCATGGGTCAACATGCAAGAGCTAGCCGCCAAGGCGACCGTGGCGAGCCAGACGATCGCCAAGTCGCGACCGAGCCCGCAAGGACCGCAGGCCGTGCCGCTGACGACGCCGCAGCTGCATAAAGAACAAAAGGAGAAGAAGCTCGCGATCGAGGCGCTGCAATCTATCGTGCGCAAGAGGGCGAGGTCGCAATCGACTGCGACAGTGGAGGAGACCGGGCGCGCCGAGAAGAGGATCCGGTCCGACGATGATGCTTCCAGGCCACCGACGCCTCTAGGCCAGACTGTGGTGGGCGAGAAGAAGACGGCGGGTCTGGCGCATGTGGTCGAACCAGCCCCTGCTTTGGCTCCGGCGCTAATGGAGGATGTCATGGCCTCGCCGACGGCTGAGGACATGTACAACAATATCAGGGCGCAGTACTTGGAAGTTCTTTACAAGTCCAAGGTAGGCGTCTCTTGCAGTTGCTGCTTTCATGCTATCTGGCTAACCAACGCAGGGTTCGCTGGCGTACTTTGCCAAAGGCCCTTTGTCGCGCGCCAGAGCGGCTTTTCACATGGACTGCGATGGTAACCTCAGCATGGACGACCTCATCGAGTACCTGACCACCCAGATCATGACGACGGTACAATTAGATAAGAAGTATAGGGAGACGATCCCTAACATCATCTCCAAGATGAAGACGCATGTTGAGAGCTCAGATGACGGCAGCAAATCGAAGAAAAGGAAACCCAAGAAGATGAAGCTCGGCAAAGATGGTCTGTATCCCACCGAGGACAGCGTTGTTCGGACATGGTGGACGGCAAATCGACCTGAAATCGCGGACGAGGACGCAAGCATCACACCGGCGCAAATTCGTTCTCACGTGGACCTCCTCCGAACTCGAGAGACGCAACTCCAGATGATTCTCATTCTGGAGATTCTGAGTCTGGAGCCTCTGCGACCCAAGGAAAACGAAGAGGAGAGCCAACTGCCAGGACTCGCACCAACAGAAAACAAGGACGGCTCTGCATCACAGCCTATGAAGAAGCGCAACAAACACAAGCTCCCGGTGCTAGTTGACGTGCACGCCGATCGATTGTGTATCTGGCAATCCACTGCCTCTGACGAGCTCAGGTTACTGGAAGATACGCAAGTTGTGACGCAGGCGGATGGAACCAAGCTGGGCCAAAAGGCTTCAGCGGACCCCTTGAAGGACTTTTGCACTGATATCATTATGCAGTTGTAAGTTTATCATGCTACACCACAACAGGGCTCCTGCTAACCTTGCCCAGTTTTGCTGCCCGCCTTCCGGAACTGTGCGACGGAATCAACCGAAAACTTGGAGGGCCCGTCATCATTCCCACCCCTAAGCCAAAGCAGACGAAACCTTCATCAAGCTCCAAGCCAAAATCGAAGACAAACGTAGTTGCAAAGCGCAGCATATCAGCGTCCAAGGCATCAAAGAGCATCCAGGAGGAACTGGCAAAGGAACAGTCTCGCCGTAGCGTGTCTCGGGGGCCAGGCAGCGCCATCGCACTGATGAGGTCGGCCACCTCGTCAACGCTGCCTGCCCTCAAGCGAGAGTCCAGCGATCAGTCGCTCCTGAGTGGCATGGCCAAGGCCGAACCAGGCTCCCTCTCCGAGAGATCGCGGGTTCTGTCGAAAAGCAGCAGCTTGACTGCTCTCGGCGATGTCAAGGCTCAGAAGAAGGCCATTGTCGATGCCGAATTGCGGAACGCTATAAGCGTGCTCAGGAAGCCGAACCGCGAAATGGCCAATCTGGATGTTGTCGAAGCTGCGGAACGGAGGACGTCCGGCGGCCTGTCGCACACGAGAAGTACGTCATCTTCCATGTCTCAGAATGAACCCACGACTGACCATTGCATGATAGAAACGAAAAAGCCCGTTCGGCACCCCCTCTTCCAGTCGGTGCAGGTCAAGGCCACGCCTGCCAACAACCGATTCCGCGACGCCTTGGCCGAAGCCGGCGGCAGCGCAAAGATGCCGGCCATATCCATGCCGCCGTCGAGCGCGTCAATGATCCCCTCGACAGCGAAACGACGGAGCACGTCCGACTATTTCGGGTCGTTCTCATCGTCTGCCGTCAAAGCGACACCCTCAAGGCCGAGAGCCTCTGCGCCTCTCGGTGCGCCGCATGACGAACCCAGCATACCCCCTTCCTCGCCCCTCATGGCGAGGAAACCTGCACGGCAGCAGTCGGCCGTGCCTGCGACGACCCCTGCGCAACCTCGGCCGCGGGCAATGCGCTCCCCGTCGCCGATCGGGGCGCACATCTTTGACACGCCTGTCAAGGCGGCCACGTCCTTCAGCTTGCCGGAGGACGAAATCGCGGCGACGCCTGTCATGAAGACGGCTGCGCCTGCGGAGAAGAAGGCTTCTTCGATTTACGAGAAATTGGGATGGGATGACGACTTTGACGACTTGTTATGAGAAATTTGTTTGGCCTGGATAGGAGCAGGACCAGGCAGCACTGGGCTGGCGTATTCGTGTTGTTGACATACACAGGGAGGACTGTCGGTATGACTTGCTAGCTTTAGGGGTCTCGGGAGGTGATATGGATACCAGGCATCATTACAATCAGGATGGACAGCATAAGCGGACGCTCAGAGTGGACATTTGTCAATGTGCGTGAATGGAAGGGGGGGGGGCCTAGCTAGGTAGCTATCTATACCCAAGATTTATACTTTCGAATCGTGACCAAAATCATGCTTCACGCGCAACTTTCTGTCCTAGACGGCGCTCGCCCCTCCTCCTCCTCCACCACCATGACAGGCAGGTCCCGGACGTCGACGTGCTCGGACGTGCCGAGGTCGATGACGCGAATGGCCTCAACGCCGACGATGCCCGCCCGCAGCGCGACAAACTTGAGCTCGACGACGTGGCAGGCGCCGGCCGCCAGGGGCCCGACGCGCGTGTCGGCGCTCAGGCAGAGGACCTCTGTGGCGTCGACGAGGGAGCTGCGCTGCATGGCGTGGACGACGTTCTCGTCGAGGACGGCATCGGCCGTCTGCCGCGCGTCGAGGAGCGTCTTGCCGCGTCCCGAGGTCGAAGGTGGGCGCACGGAGCGGGCCTCGTTGCGACGGCGCTTGGGGATGGCGACGAGGGCGAGCTTGCGCGGCGGAACGACGGCGGCGGCGGCAGCGGCGTTTCCAGCGCTGTTCCCGCTCGTGGCTGGCGTCTCGGGGACACGGTTCACGACGTAGACGGTCCAGGAAAAGGGTTCGCCGGGGTAGAGGGGCCCCGGTGGTGCGCGGAAAGTCATGGTGAGGCCGAGCTCGGGGATGGCGGTTTCTGTCGTGCGCGACGTCGCGGCTTCGAGGGCCGGCAGGGCGTCGGGGCGGCTCACGGCCGGGGCGGTGAGAGACTGCGCCATCTCGGAGCCGCCTATGGAGAGCTGGGACGGGCGATGGGCGCGCTGAATGGCCTGCGGGGCAGAGCCAAAGCCGGGGTTGACGGGGAGGGTAAAGTCGAGAAGCGTGGACCAGGAGAGAGTCAATTTGGGCGTGCAGACACCGGGGATGGCGTGTATGGTGCCCTCGATTGTGATGTCGAGGTCGCGTGTCGGAATCTTTGTCGTCGTCTCGAGTTGCTTTGGGGCCAGGCGGTAGAGGAGCGTGACGTGATCGTGGGCGACACAGGTCATGGGCAGCGTCAAGCCAGACTGTTCGTTGAGGTTCTCAATGGTACCGTCAGGAACAGACAGCTTGATGCTGTCGATGGTGACCTTGCAGTCAAAATGCGGTGTCAAGTCGATCTCGAGCAGCGCAATCAGGGCGGCGCTCGTGGGGATGGTGTTGGGTCTGGAGAAGCGTACGCGCGTGTGTATCGCCGGGAAGACGTTGATCTCGAGACTGGGCTGCGTTCGAATAGGCTGCATGTGTTCCTTCGTCTGCGTCACGGGAGCGACGCGCGACACACGCAACGCCGAGAGCTTGGGGGCCACGCCTTGGAGCGCCGGGTCGCCGTAGAGAGAATCCAGCAGGTTAAAGCCCGCGGGCACGCCGCTTCGAAGGTAGCCGGCCTTCTCGCCGACGGCTGTGGACTGGTCATCGGGCTTCAGGCTTGCCGAAGCGCGGAAAACAACAGAGGGACCCTGCAACCTGATGCGTGGCCTCGAGAGAAAGACGGGCAGCTTCCAGACAGCATAGACATGTGGCTGGCTCTGCTCGTCGTCGCTGTCACTCTCCTCGGCGGCGTCGACTACGATAAAAGGGTCGTCGGTTTCCTCCACCACACCTTCAAAGATGGTGTCAGACGCCGGGGGACCATCTCGATCCTGCGCTTGGCTGTTGACGATCTGTGCCTCGAGAGAGATGTGCAGCCTTGACAGGTAGGCGCGGAGAGTCGTCTCATCGGCAAGCGGTGTGCGCAGAATGATGTGCACGTCCACCGTTTCGTCTGCCCGAACATAAGCCTTTGCGCAAAGGTGCCCAAGGAGTGACCTACAGACCAAAGAAGAGAGTCTTGCGCTGCTCTATCGTGTCAAACACTGATCCCGTGTCGGTAGCTTCTGTAGAGAGTTCCTCTAGGTCAAGGTCCGTTGCCTGGGGAATGATGTAACTGAGAAATGAGTGCTCAACAAAATCCGAGACTCCATTTGGACTTGACCGAAGGCCACCCTCGTCCTCAGCCATTTTCGAGTCAAGGGGCGGCCTGAGCCGAGCGCATCCTCTGACGACAGCCTCAGATGTGTGCTCTCAGAGTCAAGTTGGGAGATCGGTGAGGTGGGCGTCACGTGAGACTTGCAAGGCGATATGTGAAGAGGTCGGCCGGTGAGAAGAGGCGCGCTCGGACAGATAAGCGAGCTAAAGATACACTTGGATACCCAATTGACTAAATGCGCTGAGATGCTTTTTTTGATTTTTGATATCAGGGTTTGCTTTACACACCTGCAGTCAGAGGCAAGATGGCCAGAAGGGTGAAGGAAGACGTCCCCTGAGCTTGAACAGCGCTGGCTTATGTAATTATGCCTTATATAAGCACATGATCAGATCCACCGTCCCTTTGGACGAGGCCCGTGCACTTTGACAAGGCTCTGGGCTCTGGCCTTTTTTTGGCCCTGGACTCGCGGCTCTGGGCCCTTCTCAAATTCTCGGTAGCCTGCAACTCAAAGCCGCGCCAACCTTCGTTTGCTTCACCCACCCACGCCCTTCCAACCGCGACAACGTCGTATGACACCCAGCCATCCGTACGTCGTGTCACATCCTATTGGGAAAACGGATCGCATCGTCGACCCGAAGAACGCCTGATCGCCGCCACCTATCGGCAACGTCACACGATGAATGGCGTTGGGAGCCCGTTCGGGCAACCTGCGCAATGGCAGGAGCATCGGACCGAGGATGGTCGACTCTACTATTACAATGCTGCCACCAAGGTCACCCAGTGGACCAAGCCCGAGGATATGATGACGGCTGCCGAGGTGCGTTGCAGGGACGCGCCGGCGCATTACATGACTGGTAAGCTGACATGGCTATAGCGCGCTCTGGCGAACCAGCCATGGAAGGAATACACGGCTGAGGGTGGCCGCAAGTACTGGTACAACACCGAGACGAAGCAGAGCTCGTGGGAGATGCCCGAGGCCTACAAGCAAGCCTCTGGCGCCACCGACACCTCCGCGCCCCCGGCTGCCGCTCCTTACAACGGCGGAGATCGATACAGTGGAGGAGGCGACAGGTACAACGGTGGTGGAGACAGACACAACGGCGGAGACAGACACAACGGCGGAGACAGACACAACGGCGGAGACAGATACGCGGGTCACGACCGCTACCGCGACGACCGAGACGCTCTGCCCGAGTCGCGCCAGCTGACCTACAACAGCGACCCTGCTGCCAAGGCCTTCGTACCCGCCAGCAACGACCCCGACTACGCCACCTTTGAGGAGGCTGAAGCTGCCTTCCTCAAGCTGCTGAAGCGCAGCGGTGTCCAGCCCGACTGGAACTGGGAGCAGACGCTGCGAACAATCGCCAAGGATCCCCAATACCGCGCCATCAAGGATCCCAAGGATCGCAAGGCCGCATTCGAGAAGTACTGCCATGACATGATTGTGCACGACAAGGAGCGTGCAAAGGAGAGGCTGACCAAGCTGCGTGCCGATTTCGAGACTATGCTGAAGAGGCACCCCGAGATCAAGCACTACACCCGCTGGAAGACGGCGCGGCCCATGATCGAGGGCGAGACCATCTTCCGCTCGACCGACAATGAGACGGAACGTCGCCAGCTGTTCGAGGAATACATCATTGAGCTCAAGAAGGCCCACGTCGACCTTCAGACGTCGTCGCGCAAGACGGCCATGGACGGGCTCATTGACCTGCTGCCCAAGCTGAACCTCGAGCCCTACACGCGCTGGGCGGACGCCCAAGGTATCATCTCCTCCACCCCGCCTTTCCAAAACGACGAGAGGTACAAGACTCTCAGCCAGTTTGACGTCTTGACCGCGTTCCAAAACCATATGAAGGCCCTCGAACGCACCTTCAATGACTCGAAGCAGGAGCAGAAGAACCAAAAGTTCCGCAAGGAGCGTAAAGCCCGTGATGCCTTCCTGGACCTTCTCAACGACCTCAGAAGGCAGGGTAAGATCAATGCCGCCACCAAGTGGCAAAAGTTCCACCCTCTGATCGAGAATGATGAGCGCTACCGTGCCATGGCTGGCCAACCCGGCTCTACGCCGCAAGAGCTCTTCTGGGACATTGTCGAGGAGGAGGAGAGAGCACTGCGCGGCCCTAGGGTCGACGTGCTTGATGTCCTTGATGTACGTCTGGTCCGAAACGGCTGGAGAGCATCCCCTGCTAACCCATGTGCTAGGATGAGCGGTTTGAGGTGACTCCCAAGACAACCTTTGACGAGTTCCTTGCTGTTGTCAAAAAGAACCGACGCACTGCTAACATTAACCACGTTATCCTCACCATCTTGTTTGAACGCGTAAGTCTGCGCCCGGCCACCCCCCTTGGCTATCAAAGTTCCGATGTCTAACCAATGCATTAGCTCCAGGAACGCCGATCCAAGCGGCCAGAGGATGACAAGCACGCCGAGCGCCAGCAACGCCGAGCGGTGGACGACCTGCGCACGCATATGAAGCGTGTGGACCCTCCCATTGCCGTCGGCGATTCATGGGAGAAGGTTCGCTCGCGTCTCGCGGATAGCCCAGCTTTCCAGGCCGTCGCCTCCGAGGAGGCCAGAGTCGGTGCCTTTGACAAATATGTCCGCCGACTACGCGAGAAGGAGGAGGACGCCGACCGTGACCGCCGCAGGCGCCGTGACCGTGGCTCGAGTGAGCGCGACCTGTACCGCGATCGCGACGCTCATCGCGAGAGAGACCGTTCGAGAGGTGAGAGGTCCTACCGCGGCGGCGGAGGCCGAGCTAGCAGGCGCAGCCGCAGCCCGGAGGTGGACGCCTACGAAGCCGACAGACGTAAGGCCATCGCCGAGCGCGAGCGCAACCACCGCAAGTCAACCATGGCCGAGAGCCTGCTGTCGGACCGTCGCGCCTCGCCGCCACCGCCACCTCCCCGTCGTGAGCGTTCGCGCGAACGCAACGGCGGTCGCGACCGTGAACGAGAGCGTGAACGGGAGCGAGACCGAGATTACGATCGCCCCAGCCGATCCCGTCGCGACGACGACGCATACTACGACCGCGACCGACGTGACAGGGAGGACGAGCGCGAGCGTACCTACCGCCGACGCATCGATTCGTATGACGAACTTCCTTATGGAGATGAGCGTCCTTCTGGATCCCGCCGCCGCAGAGACGACGATGATGCCGACAGACGAGATTCCAGAGACTCCAAGGTACGCCGCCACCCGATCCCAGAAACACCCCTGACTGCATTACTGACGCGTTTTCCCCACCCTTCGCAGCGAGTCAAGCGTGAGAAGACACCCCGCGAACGCGAGGCCAGCCCTCCTCGCGACGTCAAGACTAAGTCCCCCCTTCCCCCGACCGCCACTACCGCTGCTGCTGTGACGGGTAAGAAAGAAGCCAAGGAAGATGACGCCGGCGTTCATTCTGGGTCTGAGGAAGGCGAGATTGAGGAGGATTAGGTTCCCTCCCCCCCGCATCTGGAACGTGAGAGATGGGTGTAGAACAGAAGGCATGGGGTGGGAAAAGGCTGGACATTTTCTTCTCAAAACAAGTCTTCCAGTACGTCCCGCCGCGAGACCTCCCGTCTTCGAGGGGCCTGATGACCTGCTGCGCGTACAGATCCTCGGCATACCCTCGCACACATATACACACCAAATATTCGCCACTGTGCTTTTCCAACGGGCTGACGAGCACCGCTTTTGTGCTCGGCGACCATGAAAAGAGGTCCAACCGCTACCGCGAGAAATAGTCGTATGTATGATTTTCTTCAAAATTTGCTGAATGTTTAATGCCATTACATCTACGCCAGATTCTAGTGTCTCTTTCTTTAAAACGAAGGAACGCACGAGATTTGATGCTACAGCATTCATCTTCATTTCTAGCTGAGTGGATTTTCTCGTGTACCCTATCTGTCTCTCTGCAAACAGTTTCCTCGTACGAGTTAGGTGCCGCTCGACGAAAAACTGACGGCAGTCATCCTGCTTGTTCCATTGCCCCTCAATCTACGATGATGGTCTGTCTGCTTTCTTCGCTTGCCTTGCTGTATATAGAACCGCCTTCAGGTAGCCATGCCACGCTGATCAAGGTGGCCCCACACGCAATTTTGTCAAGATGAAGAAAGAAAAAAGAAAAGAAAAGGAAAGAAGAAATGCAAAAGAAATGGACAAGAACAAGAACTATCATCCAGACAAAACCATCATACCTCGTAGGACCAGGCAACAGGGGATAGACTGCCGTCACCGCTGTCAGTCGGCGTCATCATCATCGTCGGCCTCGCCAGCCTCCTCTAAACCATCAAAAGCACCCCGCCCGCCGCCGCCGCCGGAAGCGTGCCCCCGCGACCCTTTATGCTGCCCTTTTTGAACGCCGAGAACGCCCTGACCCGATGCATTATCGTGACGGTGGAGAAAATGATCCTGGCGGATGCCCTCTTCAAGAGCTCTTCTCCGGGTCGTCCAGGAAGAACTGGTGCATCACGCGTGTTAGCATCAGACGGTTCAAAGCTGCGAGAAAGTGGGAGGAGTGAACGTACGTAGTTGCCGCCGGCCTTCTGCTCTTGGTCGAGCTGCGAGTTGGACTTGTTGATGCGGGGGCGGTAGTTGGTGGGGTCGCGACGGAAGGTGACGTCGAGGTTCTTCAGGAAGGTGTTGCAGCCGGTGAGCAGCGACTCGGGCGTGTTGGCGTGGGCGTCGATGCCGGGCTGGCCGTCAAAGACGATGACGCGGTCCGCGAGGTAGGTGGCCATGATGAAATCGTGCTCGACGATAAAGGCCGTCTTCTTGGCATGCATGATGAAGCGCTTGATGACGCGCGAGGCAATGATACGCTGCTCCGAGTCGAGGTAGGCCGAGGGCTCGTCGATGAGGTAAATGTCGGCGGGCATGCCGAGGGCCAGGACAATGGCGACACGCTGCAGTTCACCACCGGACAGGTTCTTGACCTCCTGGTCGATAAAGTCGTCGAGCTTGAGGGGCTTGACGACGTCGGTCTGGAACTGGGGCGACAGGAAGGCGGCCTTGATCTTCTTGAAGAAGAGCTGGCGCACGGTGCCTT